ATCAACTGTCCACATGATTTACTGGTGCTTCCAATGTCAGTGGAATCACTCAGTTTAGTGAGGAAGGATTGTGTAGAATTCTTGTAATCATCTGATTTTGATAATGCCCAACAGGGAAAATCTACATTCTCAGTGATGCTGAAAAGAAAGTTTTTTAACCGTATGATTTATGGCTTGTTACAGGAAACTAGAAGAGTTGCAAGAGTCTGTGTCCCAGTCAGCCCAGACTGTTAGTAAATTAAATGACACCATCGTGCAAAACAAAGAACAGTCTGAGAAAGAAGCTGAGAATACTAAACAAAAACATCATCAAAAGTTGCAAGACATACAAGACGAATTAGAAAAAGTTGTAAGTATTTAACATAAAATCTGTATTAAAAGCCCCACCCCTAAACCGCACCAATTTAATAATAATAACAATTGAGAACCAATACTTTTCCATCTCTCAGATGTGTGAATGCTCAAATAGAAGCCACATCCCCTCTGTTGCATTGTACCATTTTAAAAAATAAAGATTTAATACAGATTTTAGTGTAGTCAATATAGAAAACAAAATTGCTGTATTTTGAAGAGCATCCCCAATGGAAGTGAACCACCAATTTCATTTATTGTATACTGGTACTTTTACTGGTAACCAATTTTTGACCATCAACACACTGTCAGTTATAAGTGTTTGTACATATAGTTATACAAATATTTGAATATAGAAATTAGGATTTTTAAAAATGTTGAGCACTGTTTTATGAAGTGTAAAGTTTAGTCAGTTATTTATGACCAGTTGTATAGTGACAGTCTGCATATATTAAATGCATAGACGTGTTGTGTTCTTCCATGCCATACAATAGCAGCTACATACTGTAGAATACTGTACTTTATTTTTGCTTGGAATTTATTTTCGCTATTTTCACTGAAGGGATGGTTCTGTGAAAATAAAATCCAGCGAATATACTTTTTTTCTTATATTTTACATTAAACTCATCAAAAATCAGTGAAAATAAATTCCATACAAAATGCCCAAAAAGCCTTTTCAGCGAAAATTAATTCCAGCGAAAATAAAGTATTCCACAGTACATCATTGTTAAAAACAAAAACATTTGGATCCATCTGTGACATAATTTGTCTATGTCAATACATATGTCAATTCGGTTTGTTAACGTAACTAATTTTGAATGATTAGCAGTTATTCTTGTCCTCAGCTCTTTTTCTTGGAATGAATATCAATAATAGTGAAATGTTGTATGTCATTTTAATCCTACACTACTTTACATAATTTTGTCTGCACCCAGTAACTCACTGCTGACAAAAATTCACTCAACACGTCAGCTGCAGCACTGTAAACATAATATATCACATATAAATCTGGGATGCAAAGACCAGCAAATTTAAAACTATGTATCCAGCACCACTATTATGCTGCAACCTCTTTGCGTTTTGCTTTGATTTGGTTTGGTTTGGCATTGAAGTTCTTCCAATTAATTAGTCGGGTAGTTTGTTTCAAGTTTTACTGTAACAATTTTAAGTTTTAAACTGTAGACCCAAACTACCTAACCAATTAGTAGTAAAATAACTTGTAGTAAACATTGACATTGCATATTAAATCAAATCTAAGCCTGAACCTGTGGTAAGTTCTTCACCATATCAACTCTTCTATGACACTAGATGACATTCAAGATTTCATTATGGGTATTGATTCCAATTCTTTTGTTTAATAGTATAATCATAGACATGCAAATAAGCTAGACACAGATTTTGTTTGGCATTGTTGTAAAAGATGGCCGACTAGTGGCCATTCTGTTTATGAAATGCACATGTCCAGTTTATGAGTTTATTGATCCTAATCATGCCTATCTGCTTTATTGGCCTACTATTCATGTTCAGTTTATTTTACATGCATTACAATCAGTTATGGTATTTACAGAGAGCACATCCTGTGAGGAAGGAGTCCCCATATTATTATAATGCTGTCATGTCTGGACTCTGCAGTAGTATAGATTGCTTAACATTTCTATCTTTTATTTTTTACATCATTCAGGACAAGGAGGATAATAGATTTCCTCTAAGTGCCACGCCCCTTTAGTCATTTCCTACAATCTTTTCTCTTCTAATCTTCTGAAGGGTGTTAATTGTAGTTTAGGTATTTTATTCTTCTGCACCATATTTTAATTTTATGCACATATGCTTTAGTCGGTGCTGGATGCCCTTTGTGTAAATACACTCTTTTATTTTTTACTTCAACACATTGGTGCATCTTTGCCTTCTTCAACTTTATAGCAAGGTGAATTGCAGAAAGCTAATATCAAGATAGCCAAGCTTGTAGAAAACCATAGCAAAGAGAGAGAAGACTTGTTACAGGGCAAAGATAGTGATATAGATGAATTGAAGATGAAGCTCCACTCAAAAGAGGAGGAGTTGAAACAGTTTGTGGAACA